TCATCGAGGAGTATGTCAGGCCTGGCTCTGAGTAGTTGTGTGAGAAATTGTGTGATGAGAGAAAAGTATGGTTTGCAAGAAGATGTTGTGACTAGAATTAAGAAAGTAATGCTTTGGTAGTACTGCAGAAATAAGTGGCAGATTCGGCAAGGGAAAGTATATCGTTCAAATTGACGACATATGGTAGTTGGCCAAGTCAAGTCAAGTATTTAACCGACGAGATAAATGAATGTGAAAGAAGTGAGACAGATGTGTCAAGATCATGCTAAATGGAAGTCTGTAGTATCTAACTACCCCACTGGGTGACAGACGTGAGAGTTTATGAACGTATATATGTATTAATCGTGTATTAATTTTCCACATGCGATGAGAGGTTAGTGGTTTAGGAAAAATACGTGACAATCGGAATTCTTAGTGTTAAAAAACTTTCTAAAAATTTATTCTACTATTAATAATAAAGCAGAAAATATCTGCAAAATATTTTTAATTTTTTTTATAACTTATATATTTATTTATTGTATTTTGCCAGTGATGATCCACAATTATTAAATGTTCGATTCCCAAATTAATGCAGCAGGAAATGTACACAAGATTTGATCTTTAATTTTATAATTTTTCCAATTTGCTACTGTGGTAAATATTACACAAAAAATCTTTAATACAATAACAATTCTGTTGTTCAATGGTCAGCATACTCTCTAACTTGTTACACCAATGGTCAAATTTTAACAAACCTACGATTCGCAATCAACATGACTTGCCAGGTAAAACCTGGATTCAAATTCCATTGTATTCAATTTATAAATCTTTTTTTTATAGGATAGGATGACAAACGAGCACACAGTCCACCTGATGTTAAGTGTTTGCTGTGGCCCATAGACTATATTTATTTTATCCTCAATAAAGAATCAAAATGCAGATGCGTTGTCACCCGCGAGGACTAAGATGAAATGCCTCTTTTCAAGTAAAATGGGTCTCCGGTTCTCTACACTCACCATACGAAACACAGCAGTGTCAAGTTGCCATTTTACGCTGGTATTCTGTGAGAGCGTGGTCCTTCCCCGGTCGAGCCGACCCATTCGGGCTACAACTATACTACTAATATAGCTGCAGCATGGCTCTATCAAGTATAAAAAATCTTATCAACAGCCTACCTACAGGCAGTAATATTTTACGATAATGTGATACGAATTAAGGTATGATTACCTGATACCTGAAAAATGGCCCTCTGGCCAAGCTAGCGGGTAGGTATGCGATCATAGTACATACTGACACTACTCACTCTTACACATTTCGTTCGTCAGAAAATAAGTAACGTCTGGTGGCCCTGGGATCTCGGAATATTATCGTATTATCTTTAAATAATATTCATAAAGCCCACTGCCGTATATAGGCCTACCCCATAGATTAACTCGAATTGGCAACCACAATTTTTTAATAATAGTTAGGCTAGAATATAAAATCTTGTCTATTTAACAACATAAATCTTTGCCCTTCTACGCTAATTAAATATCAGAGTAACATAATATTCATATAACTTTTAGGAAAATTCAGTTGTAGATTACGAAAAACCTATAGTCTAAACAAAAATCATTGAAAAATAATTAACAGTATATTATATTCAGCACTAGCTATTCTCCGTGACTTCGCCCGCGTGTAATTTGTAACGATTGGATTTCATGGGTTTTAATTTTTTTGCGCGGTATCCTAATTCTTTTTCTAAAATAAAAGTAGCCCAAGGTACTCCTTATAACATCAGCTATCTGAAGCCAGTGAAAATCCCGTCAAAATCGGTGCTGCCGTTTCGGAGATTAGCCGAAACAAACAGACAGACAGACTTTTTTCGTTATAAGTAACTTATATACTTTCATATGCATTTAGTAAAAATCCGTTATTTTGACATTACAAACATTTTATTTGTATAGATATTACGAGTGAGTTCTTTGATATTAATACTTTATATTTAACTTACTTTTGCATTTCAATCTGTACTTAAGTGCCCTTTTACGAGTATATGCATGTGAACAACATCTTATGTGTTTCAATTTCCTTTTATAAAAAGAAATAATATCCTTTTTTCTAAAATTTCTATTTTATGTTAAAGCCACTGTGTGTAATAAATAACATCCTTTATGAACTTCGAGATAAATTTTGCAGCTAACGAGTCTACAACTAATATTTTACACATTTTATTTAGTTTTAAGAATATTTAAGCATATTTTATTTAAGAATGGAGTACATAATTCAGTAGTTATTTTTTTATATATTAAGAGGGGGCAAACGAGCATGCGGCTCACCTGATAGAAAGGACTACCGCGGCCCATGAACAACTGCAACGCCAGGGTTAATTGCAGGTTTATTGCCGGCCTATTAGAAAGGAGTAAGCTCTCGTAAACGATTCCACTAATAGGTAGTACGAGGAAAAAAACTCCTAGTAAAACGCACATTCAGTCTTTACATGGTAGAGCCATGCTTTACGACCACGCTTTCACAGAAAACCAGCGTAAAATAGCAGCTCAACGCTGCTGTCTTTCGTATGGTGAGTGTAGAGAACCGGAGACCCTTTTTACTGGAAAAGAGGCATTCCATCTTAGTCCTCACGGGTGACAACGCATCTGCATTTTCATTCACAAACGAGGATAGATGTAGATGTCTATGGGCCACAGCAACCACTTACCATCAGGTGGACTGTGTGCTCGTTTGTCATCCTTTTTTTACAGGATAGGGTGACAAACGATCACACAGTCCACCTGATGGTAAGTGGTTACTGTGACCCATAGACATCTACATCTGTCCTCGATAAAGACTCAAGATGCAGATGCGTTGTCACCCGTGAGGACTAAGATGGAATGCCTCTTTGCCAGTAAAAAGGGTCTCCGGTTCTCCACACTCACCATACGAAAGACAGCAGCGTTGAGCTGCTATTTTACGCTGGTTTTCTGTGAAAGCGTGGTCCTTACCCGGTCTAGCCGACCCATTCGTGCTACAACTATACTACTAATATAGCTGCAGCATGGCTCTACCACGTAAAGCCTATCCTATAAAAAAAGAAAAAAAAAAGAAAAACAGTGGTGGACCGCCAAGCATCGAGATGGTGTGGATGTAGTAGTATTACAGCTGTACTTTTTCTTCTTAATTGACCCGTAAACGTCAACTGCTGAACATGGACTTCTCCCGTTGTAGGGAGGGTTTAGCTTAGTCGTCCCGCTTGGTTGGCAGATTGACGATTGCAGAGACGTCACGTTCCGAACCTTCGACCCTGCTGCTGCTGCATAGACTGGGTATTTTACATGTGGCATAAATTTGATGGTTGCCGCTATAAATCGAAAAAATAAAAAAAACTGGTCTCATTTACCGTAACAGCCTATTAAAATCCACAGCTGAACATAGGCGTTCTCCATAGTTTGTCTCATGGCAACTATCCCCCACAGTTCCCACGCTTAGCGAGTGGGTTGGCAACCGCACTTTTTTATTTTTTATCTTATATCTATTTTCCTCATGTCATAAAAAAAAGCAAATCAAAGACGCCCCCCCCCCCCCCCCACCTTAGTACCCAGTACATATTACTTGAATGGCCCCTTTATATTAATATTGACAATTTCATATTTAGCAGTGTAGGTACATTAAGAATTAATAATATTATTTATTTCTTAATAACATACTGCATATTTTTAATGCAGTTTCAAATAATAATCTATTATGCTATATTTTAGATGGTTTACTTTTTTTCGATTTTAGTTTAATATTTTTAAATTTATAAAACAAAGCTGCTTTCTTGCTTGCTGAATTATGGGCAATTAATTCAACAATTTCTTTCTCAATTTTATGTATAGATGAAATTGCTCCGAAAGTAACATTATTTATCTAACTGAAATTATTCATGAAGTCTCCTAACTTTAATTCATTTAAGTATAATACTATCTTTCTAAAAGCTTTAAATTCGTAGGAACAAATTGACGTCGTGTCATAAGTCACATTCGTTTTGATATATAAATATGAATGCCTGCGACGGTTTAGTGTCTAAAAGCAATGATATCGATTCTAAAAAAGAAAGATTTATTCCAAGTGTTGCCAGACGCGGTCTCCTTGGAAATGATTCTATCTGAACGACAAAGCGTTACTAGACGTTATTACATTTTGACTCGTAGATATGTCAAATCACTGTCGATTGAGACTCTTTATTTCCATAGTTATCTGTTATCTCTAACCCGCCAAGTAGTAGATGCGGCATATTTAATATACATGTGGGCGGACACAGATACATGGAATGGAGCTCATTGGCTAATCTAAAGTAGCATACAATGACATTAATCATCTCAGCGATGCGTCAATATAACTATTAATAAGTTTTAAATTATCACTTGTACCAATACTACGATTTCCATCAATTATAGTCACCTGTTGCCATTTTCAGTGAAATTTAGTATCACCTGTTATAACAACACTGCGTTATTCTATAGTATAGGTTAATTAACCCACACTATCAAAAATATATCGACCAGAACTAACACAACAAAAGGTGACTGAATATCTTCTCGCTGTCTAATGGTGCGTACAGATTAAGTAACATTTTGTATAACTTTTGTTTCATAACACGTCCACATTATGTAACATTGTTTTACAACATTGCAACATATAACAATACTGTACACATTAGAATAACAATGCAATATAACAATATTATATGACATTGTCGTTTGTCTTTCTTTCGTTCGAGTTATATAACAGTTAGGTTACGTTATATAACACATTTTGAAACATTCAGCCCCCACATTATTGAAACATGTTTTATAACATGTTATGTTATATAATGTGTACGCACCGTTAGGTTATATGTTTAAATTTGACACAAAACTCTTTTCAAATGTGAACGGTTATCCTCCAGATAAAAAAGCAACGGTAAATAAAAGCAAAAAAGTGTTTAGTGATGAGTGACCGGACATAGAGGCAGTATATTCGCGCACAGTGATGCGTGCGGCGCATGATGCTCGTGCGCATTGATGGAAGAGTCATGGTCGTCGGGTGGCGCGCCGCTGCTGCGCACGAGGTCGCTCCCGCTCGTGCTCGAGGCGGCGAGCGGCGGTGCGCCCGCGCGCCAGCCCAAGCTCGACCCGCGTCAGCTGCTTACACTCACACGCCACTACTATCCAGAGGGCGGGTGGGGCTGGGGCGTAGCTGCCGCCGCAACGCTTGTTCAGATCCTAGCGCACGGGTTGCATCAAGCCGCCGCTGTGCTGGCCGTAGAGACTGTGCGACGTTTCGGACCAGAGTTCCGGATGCAAGCAGGTAAAGTAAAGTCATCATTATCATTGTCACGGAGTCATGGGTATATTTGGGGGATATTTTATATAGTTGCCAGTCTTGGCAGGCGAGTTGGCAACCGCAGTGTTTTTATTATCTTAAATTGTTATCAGGAAGATGATGCTGCCCACCTCCTGTTTCAATTTTCTCCTGTTGCCTCTTACGATACCCACGAAATAATTTAAGGTAGGGGGTCCCCTTACGCTATTGCTACACGGCGTTGAGTAAGTATCTAGAATTTGACCCACAAAAATAAATGTATAATTTTCATTATTTTTTATCAAAGTAATCATCATCATTATCATCATTACAGCCCTTCACAAAACCACTGCTGAACATAGGCCTCCCCCAAGGAATGCCACAAAGCACGGTCCTGAGCCAACTGCGTCCATCGACTTCCTGCATATCTTACCAGGTCGTCACTCCACCTAGTGGGGGGACGCCCTACACTTCGTCCGCCGGTACGAGGCTGCCACTCGAGAACCTTTCTTCCCCAACGGTTGTCGGTTCCTAGAGCTATATGGCCGGCCCATTGCCACTTCAGCTTACTAATCCGTTGGGCTATGTCGGTCACTCTGGTTCTAGAACCAAAGTGATCAAAGTAATATAAGCATCAAATTTTGCAAAAGTAACGACAACGCCCTATTGGAGAACTATAGACGATTTTCCTTCTGAACCACGTCTACGTGCTGTTATCAAGAGTCATTACGAATCGACTCGCAAGTAGACTTGACAACTTCAAGCCTTCTAAACAAGTTGCCTTTAGTACCATACCATAATCCAAATACCACTTTTGTTTTGCTTATGTGGACTATGAGAAAGCCAATTCAATTGAAATTTGTGCAGTGCTACAGTCCTTTCAACGGGGTCAAGGCGACTGTCGGTAGATCGAAATGCTGAAGTGTTTATACAGTAGGACTACAATGGATATCCGAGTACAGAACCAGAATACGAAACCTACCTAATTGCTATGAGGTGTAAGACAGTCATATCTTGCGAAACGGAACTCTTCATCGCTGCTTTCAAGCTCATGTACTGAGAAGAATAGGATAAAGTTTCCAGTAAAAAGGGTATCAGTTTCTCTACACTTACCATAGGAAACACAGCAGCGTTATGCTGATATTTTACGCTGGTATTCTGTGAGAGCGTGGTCCTTCCCCGGTCGAGCAGACCCATTGGTGCTACAACTATGCAACTAATATAGTTGCAGCATGGCTCTACCACGTATAGAAACTACTTTTGATCATCAATGTTGATGACATGAATTTGAATAACAGCTAATGGTAATAAATGGTATTGGTACATTTTGACCTTTTCATCACAAAGAATAGGGACGTTGTACTGATCAAATTTAATAATAAACCTAACATTTATGCTACATATTATGAAAAGCTTTTATTTTTTTAAATATGTATTTATAAAACACTCGTAAAAAGCAAACTCAAATTTTGTTTAGATAAAAAAAATAAGTTTGTCAATTTATTGCTATCAAAAATTAAAGAGTTTGGTAGGAGTGGAATAAACCCAAAGTTTATTTATACGACAATAATTTACATTCTTCTAGTAAATCGTCGATTTGGAGAAAATCCAATCGCAAACACGAAGCTTAAGTAAAGAAACAATAAGTTCATTATTCGTCTGGTGAGTTGTCTGCGGGAGCGCAATGACACCTTCTGAATATGGTAAGGCAATTCCCGATTGATAAGTTTAAAGCAAGATTTTTTATAACAAACCTTTTTAAAACTATAACATTTACAATCCATCAAAATAATATCACTTGTAATAACAAAAGCAATAGTCGATTTAAAGGATATTGGATTTAAAGAAGTTTAATATTCTTCTCATATGTTATTTTATACTACGGGCTAGTTGGTTCCCAAAGTCGATTTTATCAATTCCCAACGTTCAAATATTTCCTTTGGATGTAAATACACTCGAGAAGAACGAGTGATTCACAAAACCTTTCAAACTTCGTCAACATGCAAGATCACTTTACGTAGAAAAAATTTAAGCATACAGAGGCATCCGTTTTATTATATTATCTATTCATGTAATATAATAATGAGTCACTAACAAGATGTTTAGAAAATAAAATATCGTCTATTAAAATTTTCTATATTTTCTTACTGTTATGATTCTTAGCTTACTATAGTCAAAGATTGATTTTCCTACCTATGATAGTGGCGATAGTTTGTACAAAAAATAATGTTAACTAGTATACTTATCAACGTACCTACTGAATATATTTGTATGTTAGCTTTGATATAGTCTGTTCATTTTAATTAGCTTTTATTTAGTCTTCAACTGAACATGAGAAGAAAAATTTGTCGTTATGCTTGGCAAAAAAATTTCTAATCGAAATCACGTCACGCAGTTCCTCGTCGCCGGTTTGGATGTTTAACGAAGGCGAATTGTAGGGCAACCCTCCACTAGATGGAGTGACGACCTGGTAAAACATGCAGGAAGTCGATGGATGCAGGCGGCTCAGGACCGTGCTTTGTGGCATTCCTTGTGGGAGGTCAATGTTCAGCAGTGGAATTGTGAAGGGCTGTAATGATGATGATGATGATGATGATGAATCGATCCCGATTACTGGTTGCCGTATGAGGAAGCTCAAGTTTATTCATCTTACTATGGAGAGGGCTGTGCTGATAGACTTTATAAATGAGGGTACCCGGAGTAGAACCGGAGTAACCGAACGGTACAGTAAGCTGCAGTGGCAATGGGCAGGTCTTGTAACTTAAAGAGCCGACAACCGATGGAGAAGAAAGGTTTTGGAGTGGCAGCTTCGAGCCAGCGATCGAAGTGTAGGGCGGCAGTTTTCTATACTTACAATAAAAATTTTCCTTTTCTAAAAATTTTTGAACCTTTTATTTATGCCGCCAAATAGCAGTTGCTCTGCTGTGTTCAGGTATGAAGGGTATAGAGAGTCAGTATAACTACAGGCTGTGAGGCATTCCATCTTAGTCGTTGAGGTGACAACGTATCTGCCTTCTTTGTTTGAAACCAGCAGGTACTTATGGTCTGTAGCAGTCACTAACCATAACTTTTTCCATATGTTTATTACACCGCCCCTGAGGTATAACCTATTTTATAAAAAAAAATCATGGAAATCGGTTCACAATTAACGAATATATCGCGTAATATACGTTAAAAAAAACAAAATACACCTCTTTAAACTCTTTAGTCTTTTTACTCATAAATTTTTAATATAAGTACATTTTTTAAATAGAAATACTTTCCAAAAACGTATAAACTTGGTCCAACACATTTTTTTTTTTGCTTCGCTTAATGAGCTATAAACAAGTGTAGTTTTATGACTGGCTATTTCTCACACTGTTAGTTATATTCCAATTAACTCCTATTTCACGAACATGGTGGTTGATTGAATGTTGAAAGATAATGATGTGACGTTATTGCGTCAGTGTCTGGTCTGTGAGGTGACTGATAAAAGGCAATTGTATGAAAATTTCCCGCCATATACCTAACATGTAACATGAGTTTGATGGATCGAAATAACTTGATTATAAAACAATTTTTAACAACCTTAATAACTGAAAAACATATAGTACAGATTTATAAAGTAAAGATTTATAATATGATATTGGAAATAATATTAATGATCATTTACAATAGTTAAAAATTTTAAAAAAAGTACTTAATATCGTTTTCGCGCTTTAAATGCAAATTGTAAAATTTAGGCATTGTTATTCGACGCAGCGAGAAAGAAACTAGCCCGTCAGTCAAATTGCAGATATATTTTTTGGATATTAATTATAATTTCCATTAACCTTAACTTAGCATCGCTATAGACAGAAGAAGTAAAGCCCCGATTAAAAGATTAATTTTTTAACCGTGTGAGAGGTCCAAGGAATATCACAAGCATAACATAACAACTGTAATGTTATCTATATAGATTACAAATTATTAACCATTCCCTATTTTCTGTCCTGATAGGTAAAGTTTTCTTAAAATATATATGAGACCATCCTTAAATATACTATTTAATAAACAAGAACCAGAAAGACCAGACCAGAAGACCATGGTGGCTGGAAAGCAACCGAAACGTCGGGAATATAAAGTAAGTTAATTAAACGCGATAACATCCGTAAAAATAGTTTTATTCAAAAAAGAACCACTAAAATCGGCTGACAATTTGCAATAGTATCGTAACTTACGTGTAACATACAAAAAAAGAACACACAATCGAATTCTCGACACTCCTCTTTTTTTGAAGTCAGCTAGTAATACGGCTTACAAACAGGTAGGGAGTATTTAAGTAATGTACATTAAAATTATTTTAACAAAGACTTGGCTTTTCGATAAAGTCAGGAAATAGACAGGTTTACATTGGCAGCTCTAAAAGAAAATCTAGTTGACAGCTTGACAAGCTAACTGACTATCTGACACGCTTTGCTGACATTATATTTAAGCGTCTGTTGTATGTTCTTTAAACTTTAAATTTTAATAAAACACAAGATTTGTGCCAATATTCTTTCTAAATAGAAATTAGTTTTGTAAGAAATTAATTTCCGCTCACGCTTCATTGAACATTCGTTTCAGTCATTAATAAAAAATTTTGAACTTTGTTTAAAAATAAAAATGACAAAAATGGTAACATTATTAATTTCAAAGTGTCTTAAAATCACAAAATAAACCTTTGATTCACATTCTCAAATTATTTTTATAAATTACTTATAAATAAGATTGAACTTCCATTAATAATAAAAATAAATCTTCAATCATAATTATAATTGGTCATATAACATGACATTAAACAAAAATTCAAATGAGACGTTTGAATTAAATGAAATAGAAATTCCGAAAGAAGAGGAAATAAATAGAGATATAAGTATAGATGAAATAATGAAAGCAATGAAAAGTATGAAAGCAGGTAAGGCAGCCGGTTATAATAGAGTATCTCTCGAAATGCTAAGGGCTGGAGAAGGAGTGGTGGCAGACCTGCTGTACACCTTGTTTAATTT